TCATTCCACATCCTCTTCTGAATCTGGCTAGAATTTCTGGGAGTTCCTTGTCAATGAACTGCTGCAACCGTTTTGAATTATCTTCAGCAAAATTTTACTTACTTGTGATATTAATGCTATTGTTTGATAATTTCCACATTCTGTTGGATCACCTTTCTTTGGAATGGGCACAAATATGGGTCTCTTCCAGTCTGTTGGCCAGGTAGCTGTCTTCCAAATTTCTTGACAAGGATGAGTGAGCACTTCCAGTGTTGCATCCATTTGTTGAAAATCTCAACTGGTATTCCATCAATTCCTGGAGCCTTGTTTTTTGCCAATGCCTTCAGTGCAGCTTGGACTTCTTCCTTCAATATGATTGGTTCTTGATTATATTCTACCTCCTGAAATGGTTGAATGGTGACCGATTCTTTTTAGTACAGTGACTCTATGTATTCCTTCCATCTTCTTTTGATGCTTCCTGCATCGTTCAGTATTTTGCCCATAGATAGAATCCTTCAATATTGCATCTCAAGGCTTGAATTTTTTCCTCAGTTCTTTCAGCATGAGAAATGCCAAGCGTGTTCTTCCCTTTTGGTTTTCTAACTCTAGGTTTTTGTACAATTCTTTATAATACTTCACTTTGGTTGGGAGTGTATCCCTCCAGAGAAGTTTTATATTTGTTTCTGCCAGATACCAGGGAGATATCCCTCATCCAGAACCATTTTTATGTAAATTCCTTAGTGTTGGATTTCCATGATTATATGGACAAGGTATATTTGAGTTCCAAATATTGTCCCTTAGAAATTCACAGGGAGGTTTCTCGTTAGTTTGTTTTTTCTTATTTAGAGCCCAAACCAAGACAGATAGGCTTCCTTTGTTGTTTCCCAAGGCTGGTGAGTGGTTTTTTAACTAATCCACCTTTTTCCTGAGGATGTAGCCCATCAAGTTACTACTTTTATGCAGTCATCTGAGTTCTGATTCCCTGCCTCACATGGAACCGAAGTCTCACATCTCCTGGACCATGTTAAATGTTAAAACTCACACCCTTAGATTACCAAGACCCAACATCCCCACAAAGAAAGCCACAGCTTCAGCTTATCCAATTTCTGCTTTGGTGTTACTTCTTTTTTTTATTTTTGGTCCCTGGAGGTGCCTTCCCTCTCTTACAAATTCAACTAGATATTTAATAATTTAATACAACATTTCTAGGTATTTTGTTATGGAAAGGTCTTTGACTTTTCAAAATGTTTCTTCTATTCTGAATGCACTAACTAAAAGTTCTAAATAATAAATAGAACGGCCTAAAAAATAAAAAAAGAGGATGATTTTAAGATAAGAAATTAATGCATTCATGAAAGGATTAAGCTGGACATCATTAATTGAATTTGAGGAGAGATAAATACATCAAATCAATGGTTCATAATGACTTTTTATTCTAAATGTCTTATGTATCCAGGTTTTGTTAACCAATTTGTGTTTTTCTTTCCAACAAGGAAATTCCATTCTTCCTCTGACAGCCAACCTGTTAGAGCTTCTCCAGAAGCTTGGCTCACTCAGATTATGGATCAGCATCAGCAAGCCTTAATGCAGCTGACTGAGATACAGCCCAGTGAGGAGGCCTTATCCAGCATCACATTTCCACCCATAATGTCAAGGGTAGAAAGTGAATCCCAACTCAGTTCAGAAAGAAGCCAAAGAAACCACATGATAATTAATCGTAGCAATTCTGAAGGCTATCTATTTCAACTGGAAAAAGGAAAACAACACAGGAAAAGAAGCAGCATTAAGGTAATAAAAGCACCATTTTACCAAATAACCTTTAAAAAAATTTTTTTATTGTTGCAAAAATATAAAAACCACAACATTTGCCAATTCAACATTTTTCATGTGTACAATTCAGTAAAACCAATTATATAAATCATATTGTGCAACCATCACCAGTATCCACTGCCAAATTTTCCATCCCCATAAACAAAAACGCTATGCTACCTAAACAGTGATACTGCCCTTCCCCCCATCCCTCGCATCCCTGGTAACCACTATTAAAGTCTCATCTCTATACCTTTGTGTATTCTAGGTACTTCATGTTAGTGACTGCATACAGTATTTGTTCTTTTGTGATTAACTGATTTCACTCAGCGTAACGTTTTCAAGGTTCATCCATGTTGTGGCATGTATCAGAACTTCACTTCTCTATGAATGAGTAATATTCCATTGTATGCATGTACCACGTTTCATTTATCCATTCATCTGTTGATGGGCATTTCGGTTGTTTCCATCTTTTCCCTATTGTGAATAGTGCTGCAGTGTACATTGCTGTGTAAGTGTCTGTCTGCATTGCTGCTTTTAAGTCTCTTGGGAGAGGAATTGCTGGGTCATATAGTAGCTTTGTATTTAACTTTTTTAGGAACTTCCATACCATTTTTCAGAGTGGCTATACCGTTTTGCATTCCTACCAGCAATGGATGAGGGTTCTCTCCACATCCTCACCAATCCTTGTTATTTTATGCTTTTTAACCTTTTCCATCTTCCCTGTTAGGAAAAACCCTTTGAAATCATATTTTGCCAAGAACAGGTAGAGGAAAGTACTCTGGTTACACTGTGTATCACCAGAAATCTAAGAGTGTGGGAGGGGATAAAAAAGGAAGGAGAGGGGGGCAGAGCCAACACGGCGCTATAGACAGAAGCACTATGCCATCCCTCCACAGCAAAGACCCGAAAAACTAAGTAAAACAGAGACAAACATCCATCCTGGAACCCTAAGCGTCAAATGAAGAGATAAAGAATGCAACCAGGCACCAAATGGAATTAGAAACTGATAGAGAACAGAGAGTGAAGAGAGTTATGAGTGGAGGTCCCCTATCAGGTAACGCAGCACGGATCCACCATCTTGGACTCCTGTCAGAGATTGGCGGACAGGGATTACAGGAAAGCAGATTCACGGAGCTCCCAGCAGGAGACAGAGCACCCAGTAAACAGTGAGACATGCTTTCCCACCTCCCACCGTGCCTCTCCCTGCTCGACCTTCGCCACTTCCTGGATAGCCAATCAGTGGCTCCCAGCAAGTCGATACACAGCTTCCCAGAGGGCCAATTCGCTGCTTCCCAGCGGGCCCATTCCCAGCTTCTCAGCACGTCAATTCCTGGCTTCCCAGAGGGCTGATCCGCTGCTTCCCAGCAGGCTGTGACCGAGGCACAGCAGGCACCAGTTCCGTGCTGCTTGGATTTGCCCGGCCCACACCGGCCAGCTTCTTCACTGCCATTTCTTTCTTGCTGGTGTTGCTTTTTTCGGCCTTTTTTGGTTCCTTCCCTGCCTCTTACCTCCTCCCCTTCCTTTCTGTCAAACACTTGACTCCGTGTGCCATCTTTGCTTCTTCTTAATGGGCTGTGACATGCCACTTAGCTGGGGAACTCCTTAGCCAGTCCACACAACCAAGCCGGTGAGATCCTTGGGGGCTTTTTTGTTGTTTTTTTTTTAATTTTTTGTTTGTTTGCTCTTTCTTCTTTCCTTTTTATTTTTCTTCATTTCTCAGTTTCTTGTCTCTTTCTACTTACCTTCTTTTCCTGTCTCCTAAATACCTGGCACTGTGTATCATCTCCACCCCTTCTAGCCAGGCTGTACTGCACAGCCTGGGAGCCACTTCCCCAGTCTGAGCAGTCATGCAGTGAGATCCCTGGAAGAATTTTTTTTTAATTTTTATTTATTTATTTTTCTTGATTTTTTTTTCTCAGTTACTTCTCTCTCCTTCCAATGGCAAGCTCCCTTATCACTTTTTTTTACTCCTATTTCTCCTCTCTCTCCTTTTCCATATCCAACCTAGCTCCACACCTCACAACCTCTCCTTCCCCCTCCCTCCTGCCTATCTGCACTGTGTGCTGAACATTGCACTCCCAAGCAGCACAGGCACGACCTACTGGAACCTGACCCGCACTGACCACTGGCTTACCTTGTCGGCCCCAGTACATGCCACAAACAACCCATCCCAGCAACTCCCCATCAGCTGGACCTGCCCTGCTGCACCATAGCTGAGCAACTGGCCCTGCCCATTGGAAAAGGAGGTGAGAAATATCGTGTGCACAGACGAGCAAACAACAAAGAACGCATAGCCCGCCTGCTCAGACATAACCAAACAAAACAAAAAAGCAGGACTAAACTAACAAATCTACAATGAATAAATGAGGAAAATAACTACTGAATGTCCCAAAGACAGCAGACAATATCAAAACATATTAAAAAAAAAAGAAAAAAAGGACAGGATGGTTCCCTTAGGCGTCCAAATTAAAACACCAGATGACTTTCCAGTAGAACAAAAGGCATTAGAACTACCTGATAAGGAATTCAAAACTCTAATATTCAGAGCTATCCAAGAGTTGAAGCAAAAGGCAGACAAAAATGAGGAAAAAATAGACAAATTCATGGAAGATACAGACAAAAACTGGAAGAATTCAGGAAAATAATTACAGGAACAAAATGCCAAAATAAATTCACAACTAGAAATCATACAAAAACAACAATTAGAAATCCAAAAGATAAACAACAAGATTTCAGAAATGGACAGTGTCATAGAAGGGCTGAGGAACAGGTTTGAAACAATGGAAGACAGGATCAGTGAAATTGAAGACAAACACTCAGATGCAACTTTGAGGAAAAATCAGAAAAAAGAACGAAGAAAATTGAGAAACCCTGAGAATTATGTGGGATACAATCAAAAGCAAATATTTGCAAGTGATCAGAGTTCCAGAACAGGCGGAGAAAACAGAAAACACAGAGACGATCACTGGAGAATTGCTGACAGAAAACTTCCCTAATATCATGAAAGATGAAAGGCTAACCATCCAAGAAGCTCAACGAACCCCATATAGGATAGACCCCAAAAGAAAATCACCAAGGCATATCATAATCACTCGCTAAAACCAAAGACAAAGAATTCTGAGAGGAGCTCAAGAAAAATGAAAAGTCACATACAGAGGGGAAACAATAAAACTAAGCTCAGATTATTACTCAGCAGAAACCATGCAGGCAAGAAAGCAATGGGATGACATATACAAAACCTTAAAAGAAAAAATTGCCAACCAAGAATAAAATATCCTGCAAAACTCTCATTCAGATATGATGGTGAAATTAGGACATTTCCAGATAAACAGAAATTAAGGGAATATGTAAAATGCCAAACCAAACTTACAAGAATTATTAAAGAGAGTCCTTCGGTTGGAGAACAGACAACACCCTGAATCTAGGACATAAGATTGCACCAGCCAGATACTAACCTAGGAAATGAACTCTCAAGGACTATTCAAAACCAAAAGATTCACAACAGGGAACAAGAGAGGTTAATCTGTAAATGACAACAATGTCAGAACAATAAAAGAGGGAATAAATGATGTAGGTATAGAACTTTCTAATGGAGAGGAAGGCAAGGTGATACCAAGTAATAATAGACTGGTTCAAACT